CATATTTATATGTAGCAACAAAATTATACTTTAGCATATATATACTATTTTCATAAATAAACTTCCCATCTCTAGTTTGAATCCTAAGTATTCTTAGTATCTTCCACCTGGTCATTCATTTTTTTAAACTTCTTCAGTTTCCCACTCACAAAGAGGACATGGAAATAAGGAGAAACAACACTGGAAACGAAACTGCTTAAAACCTCACACACAACCCGGCAGCATCATTACACGGTCACTCTGAGCACAGCCCAATTTTCCAGGTTTAAGGAAACAGTGCAGACAGGTGCAGCTGGTGACGAGAGGTTAACACACAGACTGAGGCTTTTCCCAGATTCTCCGCTCGATGATATTTTCACTAGATCGCACTATCCTCAAAAAACAACAAAACGATTCTATTTGAGGTGAGCCTTTTAATGGTAAAAAAATCAAAGTTTCTGTAGTGCCTTTTACAGGGCAGGAAAAAAACACACACAAAAAACATCTGTCTGGAAATAAATTACAGATTAATTTGAGAAAGAATGAGATAAAGTAACTTTTTATGTGACAGCTGTACATCAAAGGTCACAGAGAAATAAGAACTGTTTCCAATAATAATATGTTACTGGACATTTTATTAAAAGAAAAAGGACAATGGGGAATGTTCAATTTGACCTTCCATTTTATTAAAAAAATAAACGGGCTTCCCTGGTGGCGCAGTGGTTGAGAGTCCGCCTGCTGATGCAGGGGACGTGGGTTCGTGCCCCGGTCCGGGAGGATCCCACATGCCGTGGAGCGGCTGGGCCTGTGAGCCGTGGCTGCTGGGCCTGCGTGTCCGGAGCCTGTGCTCCGCAGTGGGAGAGGCCACAGCAGTGAGAGGCCCATGTACCTCAAAAACAAACAAACAAACAAACAAAAAAACCTGCACTTAAATTATAACAACCTAATTCTTTAAGATTGAAACCACCTACACATGAACTTCAAGAGTGAGACAGCAGATGGTATTATTTATGAGGGAAGTCACTTCAGACTCTTAACACATTATTCTCTCCTAACAATGGGCTGTGTAAAGATACACATAAATAGGAGACGATTAACTATTAGCTCTTTGTTGTCACTTCCAAGCACTTCTCCTCAGGGTTGCTCTCTCCCCACAGCGTGAATCCCAGCTTAGAAACGCCGGATGGGCACTTCTCCACCCTCCTGTCGTCCCAGGTCCACAACGCCAGGACCGGTGAGCTCTCTCACCCCTGACCCAGACTCCTACACATCTCCTGACTCTTTGAGTGTCTTCACTGAGAAACCCTTTAATGATCACCAAGAGCAGGCAACCCAAAGACTGAGGAAACTGAGGCCTAGAGAAGTGAAGGACGTGCCCAGGTTTCACTGGGAAGCTGGCAAGAGAACCAAGCCCTCCTAAACTCCAGCTCCCGCACTTCTTCTTCTGCACCCAAACCTCATCTCACCAACCTGAAGCAGCGGGACCTCACAGGAACAGCAGCAGACTAGGAGTTGGGACCTCAGACGTAAGCTCTGGACAGCCATGTCCTCATCTGTAAAGGCAGCAGGCGGTACCAGCGCCATCATGTCCCCCCATCTGATCCCTCCCCACATCCAATTAGGTGCCAACTAGGCTGTCTTTCCTTTATAACCTTCCTTATCAATCCCTTCCTTTTCACCACCATTATCTACACCCTGATTGCTATACGTCATTCCTGGACACTGTGTCACCCTCTGTCTTTTATTTTAGCCACTCTAGTGGGTGTGAAGTGGTATCTCATATTAGGTTTGATTTGCATTTTCCTAACGTCTAATGACGTAGGGCATGTTTTCAAGTGTTCATTAGCCATTTGTAGATCTTCTCTGGAGAAGTGCCTATACAAATCCTTTGCCCATTATCCAATTGGGTTGTCTTTTGATTACTGAGTTGTATGAGTTCTTTATGTATTCTGGATACAAGCGCTATATCATATACATGACTTGCAAATACCTTCTCCTATTCTGAGGGTTGTCTTTTTACTTTCTTGCAGAAGACACAAGTTGTTAACTTTAGATGAAATCCAATTTACCTTTTTTTGGTCACTTATACTTCCCCTCATTCTTATACAGACCCACACAGTTTGCTAGAATACTGATTCCATGGAACCTGTCTTTGTTCTGGACATGAAGACACACGGTAGCTGAAATTGCCTATATGGTTTTGGCTGCCCAACTTTTTTCTGAGATTTTACTTCTTAATCTAAACCCTATTATAGACTTAAAAGAGACTAATTTAGGAAAAGCTAACTACTGGTAACAGAATTAACCCAAAAGTAATGTAGCAAATCTTAATGTGGTTATAGACCTTACTGAAAATAAATGCTTCTAGCATTTTCACGAAAGAGGAAATATAATGCTATCTTTTTTTTTAAAATAAATTTATTTATTTATTTTTGGCTGCGTTGGGTCTTCATTGTTGCGCACAGACTTTCTCTAGTTGCGGCAAGCAGGGACTACTCTTCGTTGCTGTGTGCAGGCTTCTCACTACAGTGGCTTCTCTTGTTGCAGAGCATGGGCTCTAGGTGCACAGGCTTCAGTGGTTGTGGCACACGGGCTCAGTAGTTGTGGCGCACGGGCTTAGTTGCCCCGCGGCATGTGGGATCTTCCCAGACCAGGGCTCGAACCCATGTCCCCTGCATCGGCAGGTGGATTCTTAACCACTGCCCCACCAGGCAAGTCCCTACAATGCTATCTTGAACTTACCAGTTATAATGTTTCGGGTTGAATTGTGTCCCCCCAAAAGATACACTTAAGTCCTAAACCCTGGTACCTGTGAATGTGACCTTACCTGGAAACAGGTCTTTGCAGATGTCCTGCCAAAGATGTACTGCTTGACTCTCATCTAAGAGCCAAGAAGCAAGACCTGAAACATATTCTTCCATCACTGCCCTCAAAAGAAACCAACGCTGCCAACACCTGGATCTCAGACTCTGAGACTCCAGAACTATGAGAAAATGTTTCTGTTATTTAAACCACTCACTCTGTGGCACTCTGTTACACAGCCTTAGTAAACTAACACAATAACGAAGATAAGAAAGGTGTCTCTGACTAAACACACAACAGGGGGAAGCACTGAGAAAAGCCAGACAGTGGCGGCAACAAGAAGTCCCTCTCTAGTGTTCTCCTTAAAATGTCTGTCAAACTGTCTGAAAATAAACTATCTTCTCTGCAGGAACAATGAGGAAAAGGAGAGGAGGAACTGTACTCTTGGAGGAACTAATCAGATCACATCTCCTTTGCTCAAAAGCCTCCAAAGACTTCCTCATTCAGAGTACAAGCTGAAGCCCCTATAGCATAAGTAAGGCCCTTCAGGACAGGGTCTCCTGCCACCTCTGATCTCTGGCTTTCTCTCCCCCCACCCACCCCTCAAGCAAGTCTGCATGCTTCTGCCTCAGACTTTTGCACCTGTCCTTCTCCAGACCCCCTCGGGCCACTAGGGCTTTGCTCACAGGTCCCCACCTGGGCGAGGTCTCCCCAGGTCACCCTATCCAAGTGCAAAACCCTCCCCTTCTGGCTGAGCCAGCATTCCTTATCACCGGCCCCCACCTCGCCACAGTTCAACAAGAAGGGAGAACTTGTTTTTCCCCAAGGCACGTCTCACCGTCTGAAATGCTGTGCATTTTACTTGTTGACTGTCCGACTGCCTCCCAGCCTAGTTCAGGGACTCAGTGAATGCAGAGATTTCGCCGTGTCCACTGCTGGATCCTAATCACCTAGTCAGCGTTCAATAAACATTTTTTAATGAATGCATTTGCGCAATCTTCCTCACTGGGCTGAGGTTAAGAGTAAGTGCCTCTTCAGAGTCTATACCCTTTTTTTTTTTTTTTTTTTTTAAATATGGCTCCTACCTTCTGTCAGAGACTCAGAAAGACAAGTAAAAGTCCCCAAGCACCCTTTGCCTCTGTGTGCTGATTAGAAACCTGGGCACAGGTTAGAGTCTCTGGTCCACGTCTTCTTGTCCTTTCGGGACCCTCCACTCCCAGACAGGAACTTGAGGGGGCCTGGAGATTTCCGTGGGAAGTCAAGCCTACAAGGTAGTAGTGTTGGTGCCTGTCAGCTAGGAATCCTGACCTTCTCTGCCCTCCACAGAGTGACATGTCCTGCAACTTCATAAATGAAGCACTGGGCAAACTGTAGGGAGGTGGGAGCCAACTTCAGACCTTGATTATTCCTCAGTATCAAAGCCTGGATAACCAACTCTTTATTTGAAGAGAAATAAAAAGGAAAAAATTATAGAACATATTTATGTATATTTTTAAATCTACAAGAGTAGAGGAGGAAAGATGTTCACAATACAAATGTTTAACTAAAGGAGGGACTTTACTGGAGGTCCAGTGGTTAAGAATCTGCCTTCCAATGCAGGGGACACGGGTTCAATCCCTGGTTGGGGAACTAAGATCCCACGTGCCGAGGGACAACTAAGCTCATGTGCTCTGGAGCCCACGCACCACAAGTAGAGAGAAGCCCGCGTGCTGCAATGAAAGATCCCGCATGCCGCCACTAAGACCCAACGCAGCCAAATAAATAAATAAATATTTTTTTTAAAATTAATAAAAATATAAAGGAAAAGGTTAAGTAAATTATGAAATATCAACTCACGAAAGTCATTCAAATCACTATCAAGATTATGTTCCAATATAGAAGTATCAATGAATATTAAGATTAAATTTTAATATGAGAAAAAATTATGAAACCATGTTTAGTTTAAAAACAGAAGAGAAGCAATATGTACTGACTAATATTCTAAAAATTATGACTACAGATGAATAAAGTGTATAAGGGAACACAGAACTACAAACAAAGATTTTTATTAGGATGAAGTTACACTTACTTTCTCTTATGTTGTTACACCATTATTTAAACAAATCTGAAATATTTAAATGTATGCTCATACTTGTCAAAGCTCTGACAGGAGAGAGAAGGCTGGAGACAGACCTACAACCTTTAGTATGTCTAAGTGAAGAAAACAAACTGGTTCTTACCCTTCTGCCTCTTCAGCTGGGGGAAGCTGCTAATTGTAGTTGCTTGGATTATTTCCACTACAATTTGATACCTGAGTTTTAAAAAGAGAAAACAAGAAAAGATTGAATAGGAAAAAAGTACTATTTTCAGAGATGCGTTTAGACTGTATTTGTACTAATCAACTATAACACTGTGAATCCTGCCCAAGTATCATTAAACCACCCAACATGGATGAAGTCGTTGGTCCGGGTGCTGGGCCATATGCTACTCATTTCTGAGACCAGAACGTACTTCCCCCACTCCATTCCCTGTACGGATGCACTCCCACCTGGCCCCCCAATGAAGAGGGAAACCTTGAGGTTATGATCAGCTGCTCCCTCTCCCCCCCCCCCCCCCCTGCTCTCCTCCCCCCTCCCAGTAACCAGAGCCTATTGAGCCTACCTCCTAAGCCTACCAGAGCCAGAGCCTAGGCCTACCAGTAACCAGAGCCTACCTCCTAGGCCTGCACTGTCCAATGAAGTGGCCACGAGCCACGTGGGCTACTTAAGTTAAACCACAATTGTAGTTCCTCAGTTGCACCAGCCGCATTTCAAGTGCTCGGCCACCTCATGGACCTCATGGACCACAGTGGACGGTGCAAAGAGAACACGTCCATCACTGCGGAAAGTTCCACTGGATGGTACTGTCCTACACACTTCTCAAAGCTGTCCTCTCCCCTCCAGTCCCACTGTCACCATCTTCGTGATTTCCTGCATTACTCCTCACTTAGAAGAGCATTCCAGACCAACAGATTCAAAGCATCTGCAGTGGGACTCTGGTGTCAACAGTGTCTAAGCTCCCCAGGTCATTCCCACGCACAGAGAGAGTTGACAGCCACTAGAGCAGAACACCAGGTAGATGTACACGTGACTGAGGTCACCTCTGTGTGAGGAAAAAGAAAAGCTTACATTTTTAGTGCCAAGTACAACCCTAGAATTGTGGCTATTTTGAGCATATTCAAGTCAGGTGAGTTATGACCCCAAGTTCTTAAGTGCTATTTAATTATTATTAAGTATTGCCCTAACCAAACTTATCTATCCTGAGTGTTTCTTAGCCCTTAATTATGTTGACTGATTAAGAATCTGCCTATAATAAAGCTATTTAACATTAACTCTTTATCTGAACACAAACTTTGCAGCATTCTAAGATTTAATGCTACATTTGGTTGGCTTTTAGAACACAAGATATGTTCTTTTGCTTTTCAACTAAAACCCAGATGACAGACGTGAATTCATCTGTCACAGCTATTCGTGGACACCTCACAACTTTACATCTTTTTGTTTCTTCACTTGTGTGGTAAGAATGTCGATGCCCGTTCTCACCACCTCAGAGAACAGGCTGTCAGGGGCACTGCCGGCGGTCACCTGGAGACTCTGGCAGACTGCTGGTTGCCAACACCCTTCCCTCTCCTTTTTCCCCGCTAACTGGACCACATTTATAGGGGAAAGCAATGCACCCAGCTCAAAACGCTAACCTTCTCCCTAGCAGTTAGGGACAGCCATCTGATATAGTTCTAGCCTGTGAGATATGAGCAGAACTTGCCGGGAGGGGATTCCAGGAAGGTTTTTTAAAGGGGCAGACTCCATGGAAAAGCCCTTTCAGTCTTCTGTCCTTGTCCTTCCTCAATTTTCCTCCATGGAACAAGGATGCAGCTGGATGAAAGCACAGAAGCCATGAGGAGGAAAGCCACGTGGCAACGGGAGAAGACAGGAGGAGTTCAGGTGTCCAGTGACATCACTGAGCCATGAAAACAGCCCCAGCCTGTCCATCTCAGGACATCTTGTTATTGAGGAGAATAAATCCCTAACTTGTTTAAGTAACTGTGCATCAATACGTCTCATGGCCAAATGCTGTCTGACTGAGAGACAGCTCTCTGAAGTCTCCATCCATAGAGAAGTTATCTCCAGGCTGAATACACACTCAGGTGATGTTCTCCAAAAGGAGGCCTTGCTAGGACATTAATGATCAATAAAGTTGTCTCATGGAACTGCCTTCATTCCTCCATTAATGGTAAAACACAAAAGTAGCTTTTCACGTGATTTTTCCTGCCAGTTATGAACAGATGAGGAAACAGCTTATAAGAAGCATACACGCCATGGAGCGGCTGGGCCCGTGAGCCATAGCCACCGAGCCTGTGCATCCAGAGCCTGTGCTCTGCAACGGGAGAAGCCACAACAGTGAGAGGCCCGCGTTTCGCACAAAAAAAAAAAGAAGCATACACAAACCTGGAATCATCAAAGTCAAACACTCCTTAACCAAGTCTTTAATTTAACCTTGGACTTAGGTTCTCTAAGCAGAAAGCACTGACTTTTCACTCAACTCCAACACATGTCACCCAACTCCAAACATATGCTTGTTGCAGAAACTTCTACGAAGAAAAGCATGAGAATAATCTATGTGGGCAATATGCTTTCACTAAACAAACACTTTTTAAATCAGTTTCTAGACACACTGAAATGAACAACACCAATACGGTATCTGCTTTCAGAAAGCTCTGGGGATATAACAGACTAAGGGGAAAACGCTCAGCCTATAATATTTGAAAGACTACATAAAAATAGATTTTAATGACACACTGATTCTAAAATGCAAAATGGCATGTACGCTTATGATGGCAGATACGTAAACATGTGGGTATGTGAACCAGGGCTACAACGCAAAACAGAGATAAAAATGAAGGGCATCCGTATTAAAATGGTAGAATTATAAGTCATCTTAAAACTGTTCCCAAACTGCTTGTCTATCTCAGCCAGTTCAAACAGACTTACCTTCTTGCCTGCACAGGAAGCTTTCTTTACACCAGCCTAATCATCCTTCTGTCCTTTACACTGCGATCTCATCATCTTCGATATCTGCCCTCCCATAAATATGAATCTCAAAGTCCTTTGAATCTTTAAATAAGTTCCTCTCCTCCTCTTCCTCTTGTTACCACCCTATTTCAGGCGTTCTCACCCGTGGGTCAGCTGCATTAGCTAAACGGTCTGTCTCCTTGATGTCAAGCTTTCTATCTCCCACCCAGCACCCCTGTCAAAACACCTTCCTCAAAGCCCACTCTCAGCTCCTCGACCCCCGCTCACCCCCTCCAGGGACGCCCCCAGAGGAGGAAGCCTCCACTCAAGCCTCCCGCTCGCTCTGCACCTTGGCACTGGCCCCCTCACCCGACTCCCATATAAGCCTGGACTGAAGCCCCGACCGTTTCCACACTGCTCTCCCCAGCCTGTAGTCACTTTCCAGGCTTTCGCTCATGCTCTTTCCTTCTGAAAACCATCTCCCTTCTTGTCCACCTAATTAGATCTTACAGATGCTATTTCTTCCCTCAAGTCATTCCCAATCCCCCTAATTCACATTAATATTTCTCCTCGCTGAAACCCTAAATTACTTCTGCTCTATAATAGTACCCATTTATCTACTATTTTATACTGTTATTTTAAAGAGTCACATTTCCACAAAGAGTGTTGTGAACAAAGAAAACGGTGTGTCCAGTGTGTTCAGGGCCTCGCCCTTCTTTTTAAAATGGTCACACGTCTGAGCCTAAGACAAAATTGTGGTTTTGTCTATAAAAAAAGATATGCTACCTTTTTTTTCTCTCCAACTAGATCATGAGCCTCTTGAAGATAGGGATTGAGTCTTGGATTCTCCAACCGAACCTAGCTTGGCAGTAAATATTAATGAGTGCTAGGGACAGAATGTTTGTGTCCCCTGCAAAATTCATATGTGAAGCCTAATGCCCAGTGTGATGGTATTTGGAGGTGGGACCTTTGAAAGGTCATTAGGTCTCGAGGGTGGTATGTGCCCTTACAAAAGAGACCCCCTGCCAGAGAGCTCTCTCCACCGCATGAGGCCAGAGCAAGAAGACTGCTGTCTATAAACCAGGAAGCGAGCCCTCACCAGAAACCCAATTTGCCTACCAGCACCTTGATCTTGGACTCCCCAGCCTCCAGAACTAGGAGAAATAACTGTTGTTTGAGCCTCCCATTCTATGGTATATTTGTGATAGCCGTCCAAACTGACTTATTAATGAGCTACATTAATAAGTGTTAACATCTGTAACACTTAACAGGCACACGTAACATTCTGAAACATCTGTTCTTTCGATATTCTTAGTGATTCACACTCTGCGACAAATAAGTCATCAATGGTACTGAAGAAAATACACGCCGTCTGAGAAAGAGGTAAAATGTTCAAACAAATCCATAAAATTATAAAGTAACACCACCTAACAGAGTCCTTTCATCAGGTACCAGATTAGACAATTTATAGTATCTCATTTAATCCTCACAAGGTGCTGTAATTAACCCCACATTACAGAGGAAGAGATTAGAGTGCAGGTGTATGAAGAAATCTATACAAGGTCTCACTGCTTTTAAGTACAACAGCCAAAATTACAACCTAGGGCTTGATTCTGAAGCTCACCTTCTTAACCATTTTCTGGCTGCCCTAAAATTCAACATAGGTTAGTGTTTATCTTGTCTAAGGCCCTTCAAAGCACATCAGCATGGCCAAGCCCAGACCATCTTTCCAGTCGTACTGCCTTCCATATCCCTCTTGGATACATACCATTTTCTGGCCAAAGCAGACCATGTGCAACACCACAAACGCAACGCAGCTCTTTCCTGCCTCCCAGCCTTTGCTCCCCTTCTTCTCCCTCTCACACACAGCCTCCCCCCTCACCTGCTGAAATCCTGTTCACTCCCAAACACCCAGGCCTCGTAGATTCCTCTCGGCTACAGGATGAAAGATTTGCTCCTACCCACCTCTTCAGCTGTTCACACTCTACTTCTGGCCTACCTTGCTTCATATTTAGCTATTTACACCCACAGGGGTCTCCTACACTGAACAAGGAACACCTTGATGGCGGGGAAAGAATCCAAAGATCCGCAAGCGATTCATCTTTTCAAATACCAGGCCCTCCTCACACGGTGCTTTGCACACAGGAGGCGTCTGGAGATGATTACTGAACCTGTAGAATTCACTTTCACTTGATACCAAGAGGCAAAGTAGGAAATGAGAGACTTTCTCATTCTCCACGAAACCATGCAACACATACATCCA